CACCTGTTCCGGACATTCTCGTGTCTGGGTAGAATTGACTTGTTACAAACCTAGATGTTCTTCGTCGCATCAAATTGATCGATTAGCGAACGAATTCTCGACACTTTAATTTCTGTTTCTCTTCACTTTCCCGGTGCCCAAATCGATCGTGTTGCTCTGCGAGCGGCCATATAGAGATAGGGATGGCATCAGGCTGAATTTACGGAGAATTTTTCATGCAAAATAAATAATCGATTTTCGCGTGACGCGAACCTGGTGTTGGGAGAGATGAAGATCGTTTAAGGGGTTGTTGTTTTTTTTGCTCCTCGTTTCTTTCTCTCCTATGCTAATTATAGCCGAAAAGATCTGCTGGGGTTGCTAGTCTTTCTTTCAAACTCTTCGCTTCTCGGTTCGTTCGTGCACGTGGGCTATGTTTGCCTGTGTTTTTCTACTCGTGATATAAATGTCCATATCATTCGAATTCGATCAATTAGTCGCCCAAGAACTGTGACTATGTTCTGGTGTTCTGGTTGAAATTGCATGTATACGACAATTGTTTGGGTCAATGAGTGAATCTGTTTCATTTGGATTATCGTATATTACTCAGTTTCGGTTCTCACAACAACAACAATAACCAATAACAACCATGGTTTTTCGTCCCCCAGTTTTGATTGTGTATTTGGATAAAAGATTGGATTGTTGAGAAGATTGAGAATACTGGGGTTGCAAGAATAATGGGTAGATGCACGAGTGCCACTGTTTGCGACACCCCAGTCATATCACGCAGTGTCTCTAACCACCGGTTGCAATGATCTCGGGGTTTCCAGCCCCAGGCCGCCTAACAGCACCTCATGTAAGATTTTAGTTTGACCGCCTTAACACTTGTTCCAGTGGAAGTCCACGTTTATCTAAAACTGTACGCAGGACCTCAGCATTGCTTGTCCGGTTACCGCATCAGAGTGGTGCATTTGGGTGTAGACAGCAGTGTTCGAACACAGCCGACAATCTGTTTTTATCCGGTCCCCGTAGTGGCCGTAGAGAGCAGCATGCGCTCGACCCTTCACAGACAGCTCTGATGTCGTGACGGTGCCACAGCTTTCTGAAGTTTGCAACTACCAATTGAGCCTTCGGTGTGCGTGCCCGACAATTCATCTGTGACACCTCTGCCTGGTGAGATATAGCTGCCCAATTAGCGAAATTTATCTACTTCCTCTTCTGCTTTCCCAGTTAGAGTGAGGTTGGAGGTTGGGACAATCCAAACGGACACTACTATTCGCCTCTCTCCTACCAGTTTGCCTGGTTGCTTTCACAAGCTTCGAACTGATCCTCCCATAGGTACTACATAAAGATAGATTCATCAACCGGGGTGACAAACAAGATCGATTCTGTCGTTCATTTTCGTTTCTATTTATTAATTGGCTTGAGAAACAAGTTTGAAACTGTTCATGCTCGGCTGGACTGGATGAGTGGGATTTTGTGAACTGATTAGTCGTTCAACCTACCATGATCAGTTAACCTAAGAAACCTTTGTGGAATAAATGGGCTGATAGAACATTGTGTGGGCATTGTGTCGGAGGTTAATTTTCGAGTACACAACTCTTAGACTAGATCGATCCATCCATCTATCCAAACAGAATA